TGGGGGCTAAAAGCTATGAGGCTTCTCCATCACTATCTCTACTTCTCTAGATACTTTAATGCAAGAGACTATCTCTATACCTTGTTCTTGAAATTCAGTACCAAAATAGTCAACTTTGATCTCCTAGGTTTTTTTTGGTAACCGAGGTGTCCTGCCGCACCATACAAGCACCTCGACTATTCCTCTAGGAGAGAAGACAAAGAACCCACCGCCATGGCCCCCACTTAAATCACAAGTGCTCACCGTGAATCGAACCCGGGGCCAGTGCGCCTAACCATACAATCCCAAGACGCCATAACCAACTAAGCTACCCATGCGTGGGTCGATCTCCTAGTTTGACTGACCTAATCCACGAAATTTTTTTTTTTGAGGGCTTACCTAATTTTGGACCATGTCTTTTGATCCATAATTCAAGATGGTAATGCAATAAGTCTCCCTCATCTGGAAGGCAAAAGAATAATGGTATGATCTCCATCCATCTGTAGGGGTTTTGGTCCGCACCCTCCGCCACCAAATCGACCCGAGGGACATTTATTATGTCATAATTAGGTACGCATGACGTCATCCGAATATCGATTTATTCCCTACATTGTATAAGTTAGGGGGAAAAAAGGACCCAATTTGCAAAATTGGGAGAATTGTCCGATTTCATCGTAAATAATGCAAAAAGGTGGGTTTGATTAAATGGAGCACACGTGCCGCACGCCGGATGTCACGTGACTTCCGGGGAGCATCGCGCTCAGAATTGGTGGGATGCTTCATTACTTTTGGGGGTGGCGGCAACACGAGTACTTACCTACTAATAATACTTTTGATTATATGAACTTGACATTTTTTCGATTTATTTTTCCTTTTTTTTTTGGTCCTTTCGTTTTTCTCGTCACGTATCCGAAAGTGCCATTTTTCGTGGCATTTGGTGATCATACACCGCTTTTAATCGATTGAAAGAAACAATGAATTTACGACGAGAAATCAATTTCGTTGCGACCCCAATTCACTGTGAACCCGAGTAATTTCGACCGCCGAGTGAAGTAAGATTCAAATGAGACTTGCTGACATTTATTCGATTCGCGATGGATTTGGTCTAGATCTGTTCAACGGGACCTAATAATCTAATCGGATATAAGTCGATCGACATAATGATCGCCACGCGTTCTCTCTCTTTTTTTTTATCTAATGTTGTTGGGAGCATAAAATATTTACTAGATTAATAAACAAATAGAGAGAGGGTAACGATTATCATCGACACGTTCAATACGAAATCCAAGACGCTGTATCTCGAAATTGTAAAAGAAATTAAATAATAATAAAATTGCTGCTCACTTTTACTAAAGAATAACCCTAGTAAATAAATAAATAATTAATTAGCTATTAATTAGTTTAATCACACTCCGTGGCCGCAAGGCATCTCACTAACTCACCCCCGATGACTCGCTGGTTTTGGTGCCCAATGTTCTTGATTAGGTCACCCGATTAATCGTCGTTATTTGTCCTGAAATATCGTCGAAAAAAATAAATTAGTCGGATCGACTTCATACGTGGCGAATAGACATTGGCCATATTTTTCTCTTTAAAAAAATCCCGCTTGAAATTAGATTAGAAAATAATCTCTCCCTCGAGGGACGGGGCTAGACAAAAATTACCGCGACTCATCGTCCCTTCTTACCTTTTTTCTTGTTAGAGAAGGTGAATGCCGTGTACTTATCCGGGTCATCTTATTTTGATGAATGTTTATAAAATTTTAAACTATGCTCACTTCGACATCAATATCGTGAAATTTTTTTTTGTATCGTAAAAAATTCTAAGTTATGTCTATTGTGATATCGATATTCCAAACTTAAAAAAAAAATTAAGCTATGGACAAAGTTTAAGATTTCTTTTATAATAGACAAATGTTATTCTTTTCGCATCCGTACAATTTTGGGGTTTTGGTAATACAAAAAAATCTGGGCATTAATGTCACAGTGAGCATAATTGCGAATTTATGATGGTATTTTCCTTATCAATTAAGAGAAAATGAGGTCCGGAATTTCTTTTTCTTGGATACATTATCTATTTCATTTAAATTTTTCGTGGGACTAATGCCAATCGGGTGTTGATTTTATTGAATATCTAGAAGAATTAGGGTCGTAGGATTTGATTTGTTTCCCATTTGAATTATCTCAAATATAATAAGAATATATGAGCTAGAGCTACCAATATTTAATTTTAAGGGGACACTAATCCTAAAGTTGCTATTAAGATTCTCAAAACTTAGGGCATTATTTTATTTTGTTTTTTTATTTAAAAGGTTGGCAGGTAAAGGTAAAGAGGAGATGGCGGGCCCCATCATCCCCGTGTATTTTTCTACATTGAAATTTCATTGGTCTTTTTCTATGGTATCAAAACCCTAAGGTTGAAACCAATTTTCTGGTTCCCCTAACTTCACGATACAATAATTTCAAATGGAAATAAAGTCAATCGAAAAGAAATTTCCGGCGTCGGCCCAAAAAAATGCTCGAAATTTTTTTTTTTCGTAAGGACGATATTGCTCGTTTCCTTTTGGCATGTCCCGATCGTACTTAAAAATTTGAATAACACCTTATCGTTTCATATTGTATCTAAACCCATCCTTTCTATTTGAAATTCTTTCTTTTTATTGTTATTGTCACTTTTCAACAAATCATGGTCAAGATTTATTGCCGTTGTTGCTCTCGATAGGACGACGTAGATGGTTTTGGCGCCCAATGTTCTTGATTAGGTCACCCGATTAATCGTCGTTATTTGCCCTAAAATATCGTAAAAAAAAATAAATTAGTCGGATCGACTTCATACGTGGCCAATAGACATTGGCCATATTTTTCTCGTTAAAAAAATCGCGCTTGAAATTAGATTAGAAAATAATCTCTCCCTCGAGGGACGGGCTAGACAAAAATTACCGCGGCTGATCGTCCCTTCGTTATCCTTTTTTTGTTTTGTTTTGTTAGAGAAGGTGTATGCGGTGTACTTAGCTAGGTCATTTTATTTCGATGGATGTTTATAAAATCCTAAATTATGCGCATTTCAACATTAATACGGCAAAAAAAATTTCCATCGTAAAAAATCCTAAGCCATGCCTATTGTGACACCGATATCCCAAATTTCAAAAAAAAGAAAATCAGGCTATTCATGTCACAAAGAGTAAAGTTTGAGATTTTTTTTTATAGTAGACAAATGGTATTCTTTTAATTTTGGGGCTTTGGTGATACGAAAAAAATTGGATATTAGAGACACAATGATCATAATTTAGAGTTCATGGTGATATTTTCCTTACCAGTTTAGAGAAAACGAGGTCCGAAATTTCTTTTTTTTTGGATACATTATCTATTTCATTTAAATTTTTCGTGGGACCAATGCCAATCGGGGTGTTGATTTTATCGATTATCTAGAAGAAGAATTAGGGTTGCGGGATTTGATTTGTTTCCCATTTGAATTATCTCAAATATAATAAGAATATATGAGCTACCAATATTTAATTTTAAAGGGACACTAATCCTAAAGTTGCTATTAAGATTCTCAAAACTTAGGGCATTATTTTATTTTATTTTTTTATTTAAAAGGTGGGCAGGAAAAGGTAAAGAGGGGATGGCGGGCCCCATCATCCCCCTGTATTTTTCTACATTGAAATTTCATCGGTCGTTTTCTATGGTATCAAAACCCTAAGGTTGAAACCAATTTTCGGGTTCCCCTAACTTCACGATACAATAATTTCAAATGGAAATAAAGTCAATCGAAAAGAAATTTCCGGCGTGTCGGCCCAAAAAAATGCTCGAGACTATTTTTTTCATAAGAATGATATTGCTCGTTTCCTGTTGGTATGTCCTGATTGTACTTAAAAATTTGAATAACACCTTATCGTTTCATATTGTATCTAAACCCATCATTTCTATTCGAAATTCTTTCTTTATATTGTTATTGTCACTTTCCAACAAATCATGGTCAAGATTTATTGTCGTTGTTTCTCTCGATAGGACGACGTAGATGGAAACTCATTCGATGCACACTTAAGTCGGTTTAGCCAAAAATGGTTGCTTAGGAGTCATGGTCACGACATCGATATCACGTCGAATGAATCATTTTCTTTAAAAAAAATTTAAACCGTCAAGAAAATAAGCTAAACGAAATTCATATAGCAAGAGAGAAAGAAAAAAAACGAATGTAATCGTGAGTCCTTAAAAGCCTTCATCTTCGTTTTCGTCCGGATCTCGAAATCATTAGAACGTAAAATTTTCAGATAGTATTCTGTCTCACCAGAAAAGAAAAAGACATCATTGAAATTAGGGGTGTGGTGAGTGTGGGCACCGCACGCGGGCCAACGAATTTCTTTTTCTCGTTTCTAAAATATTAAAATAACATTTCTTTTTTTGGGGGGGGTGGGAATCGCCCGACCAAAAACTCTTTTCGTGTTTAATTAACCTAATTTTCAGGTGGCTTCCTCGTAGAAAAAAGAGACAGAAAAAAGGGTAAAAAACAAGAAAATTATTATTATTATCAAACTCAATATTATTAGAAAAATGGGGAATTCCAATACCAAAAAAAAAGAAGTAAAAAAAGAAAAAGAAAAATGGGGAATTCTAACAGCTGTTGGGTAAAACAACGACCAAAGGAAGGGAAGGAAAGACAACCTCCGAGCAGACGACACGAGAGAGAGAAGAGAGAGAAGAGAGGAGAGAGAGAGAGACGACTGTTCCTCCTCGTCGGCGAAATTTACCATTCTTGCAAATCGCGTTCGCATGCAAAGCTCCCTCCTTTATGCTTTCTCGCCTTCCGCCGTTCCGCCCTCCGCCTTTTCTCCTTTCTCTCTTTTGTCGTCTTCCATGCCTTAGTCCCCTCCTTAAAGCCTGGCCGCTCCCCGTTCCTCTCCTCCCTCGCGCTCTCTCTCTCTCTCTCTCTCTAGCTTCGCTCGCTTCCTGTGTCGCTCCTCGCGTTTCTTGGGCGGGTGCTGTTGGCGCCCCCCCTTCGTGGGATCCCCACGGAGGATTCTGATCCTGGCCCCCGCGCAGAGCCGCGCCGAGCCGAGAGAGGGAGAGAGAGGGGGGCTGATTGGAGCCGCGCCCATTTGAGCCGGGAGCTACGAATCGCCTCGGCAACCTCGCGATCGCGCGTTCGTTTCCGGCGGGCCTCCGGACGGCGGCAGGTGGGTGATTCCTTTGATCGCCTGAGCTCCCGAGGGGATTCTCTGCTTCATCCGAGAACACCCAGATAAAAAAAAGGGAGAGGGAGTAGAAAAGACCGTGGATTTCGATGGCGGATGTTTTCGGGTCCAGGGAGTTCGTTCTGGGTTCGTCTTGTTTTTTTTTTTTTTCGCGTTTCGGGAGTTTCGGTTGGTTTGGAGATTTCTTTTGAGATCCGAAGAAGGGAAAGATGAAAGAACTTGGCGCGATACTTGCATGCGGAGAATTCGTGAAGTTTCTTGTACTGTGTTCGGCAATCATTAGCAGTGTTGTCTTCGTCGGTGTTTGTCTACAACGATTAGATCTTCAATCAAAATATATGGAACTTGCTGTGTGATCCTGTTTTTTTATTCCTCGGAAAGCAAGGAATCGAGTCGATTAGTTGCGATGTTCGCTTGGTTGTCTTTACATTCTCTTTTGCTTTTTTAGTGGGGATTGTTCAAAATTAGATTTTTGAGGAGATTCTTTAGGTATGGTACCAGATTGGCATGTCTTCTGATGTCTTGTAAGGTTTTAGATGTGAAAATCTGAAGCGTATCTATGATTCCTCGTATGTTATTTCGGTCATGTCTGGCATTTTTTTAGCTCTCCTGTTGTCAGAGGAACTTTCTTCTTTTTGGCATCGAGACAATTTCTTTACCTGTAATCGTTCAAGCATGTGAGTTGCACTGGGCTTCTTGTGCTTTCACATACAAATTTATCATGCTATGCCCAAATTCATTCCTATCATGACGTTTCTTAAGCAGGCCACAATACTCATCATCTCGTTGGAAGTTGTTTTAGTGAGTTGGAGAAATCTTTGTTGGGTCATGATTTACTTCTTATACTTTCGCTTGTAAACTTTGGAAGATTTCTAGCTTTCCTATCAGTATTTCTCAATTGATTATTTTCAGAGGGAAAATGCGACAAATTTGTTAATTAACCCTTTCGAGAACACTAGTTTGGTGATAAAAACTGTCTCGGGTTTCTTAGCTTGAAAACTTGTTTGGAATGATTTCTGATTGGAGTGTATCTGTTTTGCCTCAGTAGTCACTTTGTTATGAGAGAAAGTAGAAGCATCTGTTGTCTATGAAGTCGTTCAAATCATGGAGACTTCTCTTGAGGAAAAAGAATGCATCCTTTGATGGGGTGAGTTTGATCTTTATTCCCTGTTCATAATTGGATGGCTTTGAACGGTTTTTCATGCTTATAAGTTTGATTGCCGTAGGGAAAATGCGGGATCAAGATGAAACAGCTACCGTTTATGGGGATCATCTGTGTAGTGATGTTGTTTATTGTATATAGAACGACCAAATATCAATACCGTCAGACGGAGGTGAGTTCCTCTATCAGTATTTGAATTTTATAATATATAATCTATGAAAATTAGCAGGGAAACAATAGACTTCAACCTGTATAGGTGAGTTCCTCTATCAGTATTTGAATTTTATAATATATAATCTATGAAAATTAGCAGGGAAACAATAGACTTCAACCTGTCTTCTTTTGGCTTTTATGGATCTTTAAGTCTGCCTAATAGTTAGGCTACAGCACTGATATGGTTTGAGGGATAAAATAAAGTAACAGAAAATAGTAGAATGCAATGTCTAGAAAAAATTCATTGAAATTTGCCCCTTCCTTCGTTGCTGGCTTCACCACTTGCCAGTTTTAATTTCATCTGGTTATGCTGTTGCTGTATCATCTCTAGACCTTCCAACGTTTACCTGTGAAGTTGAAGTTATGATTTATTCAATGCATCTTTTAGTGAGCTAATCCTTTTATTTTGCCTCCTTTGTTTGATCAGATGGAAATTAATTTACACCCTTTTGACACGCTAAAGGTACAAGTTCTACCTGATATTATTCACTTTTGCATTTATTACCTTTAGAGTTGAATTAGTGTTGCCGCTGAAGTTCATGATGCTTTTAAGGGATGGATGATGGCTTTCTGTGATGCTTTTGATGAGGCTCTTTTGTTGTCTTGTTTTGTTTCCTTCAGGATTCTCGGGGTCTTTCGCGGAGACTAGGCAGTCTTCCGCACGGCATCATACAAGCGAGATCAGATTTGGAGTTGAGACCGTTATGGTCAACAAGTAGTTCAAGGTCAAAGGTCAGACTTGGTGAATAGAATGCTTCCATTAAAGCTGATATGATTTATATAGATACTGAGATACTAGGGGTGCATTCGGCTTTACCATCAATTGCATTGCATGTCCCTGAACATGAATTGAGGCCTTTCGAAAATTTTAGGTTGATGTCTCTAGCAATGAGGTTGATAGTCGCAGCTACCGTAACTTACTGGCAATGCCTGTTGGGATCAAGCAAAAGCATAATGTCAATGCTATTGTCCAAAAGGTAATACTTTCAAGCTTATGATTTAAGATTGGCTATGGTTGAAGTGAGATTCACTACTTAATTTCTTGAATTCAGTTTCTTCCAGACAATTTCACGGTCATGCTATTCCATTATGATGGCAAAGTTGATGATTGGGGAGATCTTGGCTGGAGTAGCAAAGCCATTCATGTAGTTGCTCGAAACCAAACGAAATGGTGAGTCTGACCTTCAGCACTTTGAGTTTGAGATTGCTTATTAGGAATATGATTGCTTATTAGGAATATGCTCTGTGAGTTGAGTTCGAAAACTTAGGAACCAGTGCACTTTGCGAGGGAAAGCTGGTGTAGTGTGTAATTTAAGCAATGTCTATAGGTTCAGAAACTAAGTGAACTTTGTTAATTTAGCTGCAGAGTCTTATAACAAGTTTATCTTGCCATTGAACTATAAGTTTACAACTCATTTGACAAAAGTCCTATTTCTGGGAAGAGGTTTGAAAAGATTCAAGAGAGAACAAGTGCCTTCAATTAGTCTGAGCTGTGATTCTTTTCTTCTTGTTCTTGGCTAGCTGTGTGTTGTTTGAGATGATGATGTCGACCATTGTCTCGTCTTTTCTTTGAACTTATGAGTTGCTCTAGAAGTCTTCTTGTGCAATTCTTAAGCAACATATGCTTCTGCTAGTTCTCAGGCAAAACTTTGTGTCTCCAACTCACATTCCAATCAAACTTTCCGTTGCAGGTGGTTTGCAAAGCGTTTTCTACATCCCAGCGTTGTTTCAGTATACGATTACATATTTCTCTGGGATGAAGATTTGGGTGTGGAGAACTTCCATCCAGGGAGGTAATAGTAATGAGCATTTTTTAACATCATGTCCCTGCAATTGTTATCCATATTCTTATCTCCAACCTGTTTGCTCTCGACATGTTACTCTCAGTTTTTTTTTTTCGCGCAAATTTCTCTGCAATTTATTTTACTTTGTAAGTGTACCCTTGTAGTTGTAGAATCTTTTGGAATCTTCAGTTTGCTAAAACCACGTAAGCTTTATTGTTTTCCGAGGCTTCCACGAAAGGGAATGCAATTTTCTCTCCCCTTTCTCAGGGTTCTCTAGTTCCAATATGGCTTTTTCCCTCTGTTTTGTTAGCTCATACTCCCGAATGATCTGCGATTTTTCTCTGATTGTTTTCTTTTTCGGGCTGCTCCCAGATACCTGAAAATAGTGAAATCAGAAGGCTTGGAGATATCTCAGCCTGCTCTACATCCAAACTCGACAGATATACATCACAGGATAACAATTCGTTCAAGAACAAAGAAGCTTCATAGGTGAGTCAGATGTAATTGTGTAAGGTTCTTATGCTACTATGGCACGCAGTTTTGGAGGTACTTATGTCAAATGCATGATGCAGGAGGATATATGATGCAAGAGGCAGCACAAAGTGCACAAATGCCAGTTGGGGGCCGCCCTGCACCGGGTAAATATCACATGGGATGACAGTTAATTCTGTTTTACCTTGTTTTTTTCCTTTTCACTACAAGATTTGATGGATAATGTCATGGGCCTAATTCTGTTGCACAGTAGTAAAACCTTTTGATTACATTAATGGAGTTGGTGGAACAAGTGTTCTTATAGGAGCCTTTGTACAACAATGTCCCTCCGTCAATGTCATAATTCGTTGGTTGTCCGTGAATAAGAGAGTCAGAACGCGATGTCTTAAGATATTATTTGTTGGGAATTTGACAGTAATACACATTCTTTGGCTAACTGTAGATTTGTAGAGGGAATGGCTCCAGTTTTTTCAAGATCTGCTTGGTTTTGTACTTGGCATCTTTTGCAGGTATTATTATGTTTCTCGCCTATCTTCATTAGCATAACTCATGCTTTATTATTTAAGCACGTTAACGTGTCAATGGTCGTTTCTCCTTTTGAAATTACCGCTGACATGACAGTACAAGCAGTAGAGCTTTCACTTGATTCTGGAGCTTAATTCTTCATCCGCAAAAATCCTTGAAGAAGGGAGTCAACAAAGTCTTATGATCTATCCTTTTTCCAAATTTGCGAGCAGCTTTTCATGTACAATAAGCATTTTTTGGTCCTCAAATGTCATTGCTAATGCAGCCTGTTCGTTAGGTGATATTTGAGTTTTGCTTTTATGTAACTTTTGTTGTTATCACAAGTTAGGTCTGTAAGGCTTCAACCTCTAGGTGGTCAATTGATGACAGAGAAAGTGACCTGGATCCTTGGCGTTTCTGTTTAATTAGACTGGCATTATACCATACATCCGTGGTTCTCTTAACTGTTCTCATTCAAGATCTCTATTAGGATGAAAATGCTTTACTGTTCCTTCCCTTTTTGTTGATCCTTTTTTCCAGTAACAGCGAATCACTCTTCTACAAACTAGCTTAGTTCTGTTTATTTCGCTTTTCTTTTTGTTTTTAATGTGTCAGAAGATGATTATATCTTTGCCTTTGATCTTCGACAATTTGATTCATATGTAATACAGTAACGTTATCCCTTTAACCACTAAGAGCCTTCATTGGTCTAGAAAATTACAATCTTTAATGGCTTTGTTTGACTATATCTTTCACTTGGTAATAGAACATTAATCGCTCTTTAATTACTCTCTTCCAGAATGATCTAGTCCACGGATGGGGGATGGATATGAAACTCGGGTATTGTGCACAGGTAATACTCTAGTTCAAGCTGTCAACCTCTGCTTTAATGATTTGCGAATTATCTTTTCTTTTTTTCACAACCACCTGTGGCATAAGTACCTTCAAGTTTGGGTGTACTGTTGCATCATCTTCGAAGCATCATTTTGTTCTTGAGGATATGAAAGATTAATTAGAGGTCGAGAGATATTGGCAGAAGAGTGGGATAGGGTACTCTTCCTGAATTTGAATGTAAATAGTGAAACAAACTAGCACTAACTTCTTATTTATCGGGCGTATTATCTTTACTGAAATTTCATGACAAAAAGTTTGGCTGCTTGTGGAGGTTGCCATCATTTTTGTTCATTTTTCCCACTTTTCCTAGGATACACATCAGTTGAGAATGCTCACATGCAACGTGGAACCGTTTCCTTTTGAAAATCTAGTTTTATCAGCCACTGAATCAAGATGTAGTGACAAGGTTACAGGGTAGAGTTGGATCATTGGGGGGGCTTATAAACCTATCATTGTCAGAAAGCACTTCTTGTTATCAGAAGTGAAATTTTTTTTTCATGTAGTTTCATTTGGATTCTTCTTTTAAACCTTGAGCATCAAAATTGTTTTGCCTCTTCATTTAATCTCTACAATACGTTTGGAACAGCTGGTATTGTATCAGAATCAGCTACTATACCCCTGTTGGATTGGGTTGTGAAAGTGTATAGGGTCTAATATGTCCTCCCATATTTCTCCTTTATCCTAAGGTTAAAATTGCTGGTGTGCAGTCCGTTGTATTTAAATTCCAATTATAGGGAAGTGGAGTGACTTTATTGGCTTCATTTTGGGGGATCTACAAGGTCATGTATAAATTTCTGCTTTGCCGTAATTTATGGAACAGGGAGACCGTACGAAGAAGGTAGGAGTCATCGACAGCGAGTATATATTTCATAAGGGTATACAAACTTTAGGTGGAGGTGGTCCTGGAAAAAAGGTTGGTTTTTTCTTATCTTCCCTTTTTCCGGTTTTTTTTTTTTTGGTCGGATCCCTTTTTCCGGTTTGAATTGTTCCCTTGCTCTATAATTTTTCAATTGTTGTTTTCTTGTGCTAAGTATGTGCTTCGTTTTACAATTCTCAGGGTTCAAATTCAGAAGAGTTAACAAAGGTAAATATCGATGTGTGTATGACCTTACCTTCATTGTACTATAAAAATCACGACATTAAGCGACCACAAAAAAAAAAAAAAAACATCACGGCAGTCACTATTTCCATTACTTAGTGGTGAGGCTGATGAGCTTACTGGTTCCTTGTCTTGCAGAGACACAGCGCTTCATCAGTTGACATGCGAGCAGAGGTGAGACCCATTCCTTTGCTATTTATTCCTTCTTCAGGGCTATTCCAAATTTGGTTGTATTGAAAAGGAAAGACGTCTTCCAATGCTTTAAGCACGCCTAGTTGAGAGGGGAGAAAGAAATTACACGGGACTCTTATTTGGACGTTGCCTGTGTCTCTGAGCAGATTCGGAGACAATCGACATGGGAGCTTCAAGTCTTTAAAGAGCGGTGGAATAAAGCCGTGGAGATGGACAAGGATTGGATCGACCCGTTTCCTAAAGACACATTTATAAGAGATGAAAAGCGTCGAAAGCATAGGCGGCATCATCAATGAATGCCAAACCCAATGGCCCTGGGGAGCAGCTTGGCAATGTTAGGTTCGTCTCGGCCACACTCGCGATTCTGGTCTCATCTATACTTGTAACTTCTTCTTTAGTTCTTGTAGCATGCCATTTGATGTCGGCAATTAAATTCATTGTTTCTCAACTTGCTCGGTTTTGGTCTTCGGCCATGTGAAAATTTTGCCCTTCACATATCTCTCTAGCCCAGCATAATCCCCCAGGTGTAGCACATCTCAATTTTATTGGGTATACCATATGATCATTGAAGCAAATTAGAGTTGTGATTAGAGAGAGCACTCTTGTTCTGCATGATCCAAAGATCAAATGGCTATACAGAACTCCACTACTTTACATTGGTTATGCCTCGATTGTTCTCTGATGGGTTGCAGTTGTATTATTCCCGAGTAAAGCGATTCGCGGTTCTTGTAAAGTCAAGAGTGCCCGAGCATCCGAGCCCGTTAAACCTTGCCGTCGGCGATTAACTTATGAATGGCTGAATCTGAAAAAATTCCAGTTTTGTGGGTGAAAACTAGTCCTGCTCATCAAATGGGCGGGTTCAGCACAAGCTCTTCTTGGACATTCCTCGAGGACGGGTGTAATCGTGGTAGTGTCATGGTAGTTTCTGAAATTTTTATTCGGTTTTTCTCGGAAACTCTTTGAATTTCGCTCAATGTAATCATAATGTAATCATTTCGTAAGTGAAGCGCCATGCCAGCTTGTTGCGCATTGCCGCAATCACCACTTGTGCTTAATCTCAGACCAGCTCTCTCTTGTCTTCTCTCTTTCTTTGTGCTCAACCTCGGTAGGAGGTGTCGTTCTAGCCAAGCGACGGCCCGTGGTGCGGCGGCAAGGTGGTGGAGCTTGGCTACACAACGACCACGATGGACAAACAAATGTGACACGATATACCCTTCAACAATTTCAACAACTTTTTCGTTAGTCTACTTAACGGAAGGATGATATTGAACCTAATTCAAAAAGTTCAGCGATTTCGTTAGCCCACTTAACGGAAAAATGAGATTGAACCTAATTCAAAAAGTTCGGCGATTAAGTTAAATCGAAAGGAAGTTTAGGGGAAGTTTGGGAGACTGTGTTGAAATCCCGAGCAAAAATTTAGAGATTATTCGTGATATTATCTTTATGAATAAAATCAAATTTAAAGATGTATGGTGGACTATTAAACACAATTTTTTTGCCTTTGAGCTTGACCAACATCTCTCCAAATTAGGGGTGAGCGGTTCCCGGTCCGGTCCGGTCCAACCCAAGAATCGGGAACCGGATTGGGAGGACCGGTTTCCATTTTCTAGGACCGGGGACCGGACCGGCTAGTCTTGGGACTGTGGACCGGACCGGATCATCGGTCGGTCCGGTTCCAATGTGACCAATATTAAATATTATTTGTGAACCGGGAACCGATTGTTCCGTTCTTTTCTTTATAGTTCTGATTTGATCCCATAAGGCCATGGAAAAAATTGAAAAAATATATATAATATATGAAAAAATTGAACAATTGGTTCCAATGGGATCAATATTATATATATGAAAAAAATTGAAAAATATATATTTATCGGTCCGGTCCGGTTCCCACCCTAGAATCGGGAACTAGACCGCCCGAAATCCAGTTCCACTTTTAGGAACTGGGAACCGGACTGATATTCCCGAGAACTGGACCAAATCGGTCGGTTCGGTCTAGTCCGATCTGGTCCCGATTTGGGTAGTCCATCTTGCTCACCCCTACTTTAAATTAGCACAAGCCGAGACAATTCTTGGTGCCCATTCAAATTGTTACAGCTAATTCAAATTTGAAAAAAAGGGAATGGAGAAACATTCCTTTTGGACACAAGGGTTCTATGGATTTGAAATGGGTCTGCTGTTGCCTTTTGATTTCTATGCGGACAAACGTACGGAGCTCAAACTTAGCTGTCTGCTGTCTGTTGTCATATGCTGACCTCGCATTGTTTAGACCACCTTCTTGATTTGTTGACAATAACAATAATTTTTTTCTTTAGATTCTTGAAAAAACAAATTACAGTTAGTTGGGTTTTCCTTATGGTGTCCCAAGAATGTCAACGATGTCCCTAGGACAACTACTACAATGCAAGAAAAAAATATGCATATAGTAAATTAACCACGTATGTTTAGGGGTTTAGGGAGTGAGCCGCCAAAGGATTCGCCAAGTTGATGAAACGTCTAGGTATTTGCACCACCGATGTGATCGTATCTCTTAAAAAATTGAGTCGGAAGTAATTCTTTATGAATCCTCCGATTTCGATACGAATGACTCGCCTTTAATTGATATTATCATTTACGAAAGCTGACCTGAGTAACGGGTATATAAGTCAACGTCCATGAAACTGGCTAAGTGGACAAAGCAATCGATCCGGACATGGCAAATTCCGTGTTCGAATCAAAAGGGTCTCCCTTTCATAATAGATTCAGGGCAGAGGCCACCTCTCTCTCGAGCGAAACCCTTATTTCATGTTCGCAGACAGAACGATTTTGGCGCATTTATAGGGAATTTCGTTGTCGAGCTAAAAGGTTCGGATGACCCGACATCGTGATAAACGGCACCAGCGGCGTGCCGGAAAAGTTAAAACGAAAGAAGAAGCATAGGAAGGAATGAAAGGGCTTGGCCAGGCAGGCAGGCAGACTATAGAAAGGACCAACAAATCAAACATCGAAAGGGCCGGAAGTCAACATCCACAATTGATTTTCAAATGATTATACATGAAATGTTGAACTTTCCGAAGGAGAGGTCAAAAGTGGAGCGCGTCGTCCTGTTCCCCGCAAAATTTTTATTTCAATTATCACGAGGATTTTCATTTGGGAAAAATAATGTATTTTCACATTTGCATCTAGAAAGTGGGGCCCCGTACGGAACAGCTCCAAGAGAAGATACATCACAAAGGCTAAAAATAAATAAATAGTATAGATAAAAAAAATAAAAAAGGAGAACACTAATCAACCACTCTATAAGAGTAGCTACTAAAGAGATAATGTCGTATAGGATATTTGCCTATGGATTAGCCCTAATCTAATGGTGTTAGGTGAGGTTCGATGGAACACAATTCAGGAGGTCTTTTTAGGAGCTCCAACGTTCCAATCTCGAGATTAGTATGGACGACCCAATTTTCAAAAAAAAAAAAAATTCCTTGACATGGAAAAATAAAATTTGGGTTCATGGAATTACATATATAAAAGCTATGTTGGCCGACATCGGGCGCAACAAGCAACCCCGATTTTAGGGTCCCTGAGGCCGGCAACCTTGGATTCGAGGTCTAGAGCGTCAGCCCATGTCAATTCGACAGGTGGAGAGAGAGAGAGATGTGGGACGATGGCTAGGCGATGCTCGAACATCGAACCATGGTAGAGCTCGCGGGCTGGTCTTCGATTGTAGAGCTTGACGATATGATAAGACTGCCATGGATAGGATCGTCCCTTGATGTGCTCGCGCTCTTTTTCTCCTCCATGGATGGATCTCCGCGATTTTCAGCAAAAAGTTCCTTTACCTCCTCCATCATCTCCTTGCTAGCTTTTTCTTTCCAATTGTTTACGACCCTTATCCTATCCGGATATATTCTATTGTGAGATTTTTTGTCTGAATTATATCCGGAATTCAAGTCTCCCAAACGCCGGATAGTAGATTATATCCGGTCTACCAAACCTAAAAGGGTTTGCTAAATTCAGATTATGCAATAAATAAAAAAAAAGAAGAGAGACTAGGTGATCATCAACATGACTTGCGAAATACATTTTCCTAGTTCGCTTTTTAAAATTTTCTGCCACGTAATTTTTTTAATTTCTTCGGCGAACACAATGCATCGACATGAACCGCACATATTGTACTTTTTTTTAATGTAATCGTGTTTGGATCAATACTGTCCAAACGCAAGTTGATGATGCATGGAGTTTGATTAACAAAGTAAAGTGACAAATTCTAATTTCTCAAGTTTTTATTACATGACCAAGGAATTTTTATTTCTATAAAAAGAAATAAGCAGGAACAGGAGAAAGGAAGAAATGAATTAGGACACAATCTGTGTTTTTTTTTCACACATAAAACGACACGAAGCTATCATCAGGGAAAGGAGAAAACGAAGCTGTCTACCCCTCCCTCTCTCTCTCTTCTCTCTCTAACATTTCAAGGCGTACGTATTCGTCCGCGGGGGGACCGAAGACAAGTCCTCTCTCTCTAGAAATTCAACACCCCTCCTTTCCTCTCTCTAGAAGCGCTTAACTTTCGAGGAAAGGCTCGAGCTTTTCCACAGTTGGGGGCGCGTTTTGAATTCCGTCTTCGGTAAGCAATTCTCTCTCTCTCTCTCTCGCTTCCCCTGTTTCGTCCTTCGATTCCATCGGAGGGTGTTTCTTACTCCTCTGTCTCTCTCTCTGTCTCTCTCCGTGTGTGTGTGTGTCCGTGGTTGCAGAGCTGAGACGAAGCATCTTGGGCGATGGCCGGCCGGTACGACAAGAACCCCTTCGACGAAGAGGAAGTCAACCCTTTCTCTGTAAGCTCCTCCCCCGCGGGTTTTACCCGCAATTCAAGCGCGACCCAGTTGCTAATTTCGGACTTTGAGCGTCTTTCGTTTGGTTGATTCGGTAGTTTAGGACCGATATGGGCACTGGGTGATCAGGAGAGGACGGGTGAATGATAACTGAGTGTCTTGATCTAAGTTTCCTGGCGAAGGACCGAGCTTTTTTGGGTTGAATTGCGGGGATGTGTAGTTGCTCTGGATGTTTGAGTGGAATCGTGCTTGAATTGTTGTTGTGATTAGTTGATTGATTAGATCTGCATATGAATTCTTTCGCTTTTTCGTTTGCTTGTGCTATTTGTTGGGTCAGATTGTTCTTATTTGACTTTGACTATCAGGACCCAGCTGTCAGGAGCAAACCTTCCTCAAACTATGGTGGGGGTGCGTTTTACACCTCGGTAAATGCTAAAATTCAAGTGAACTTTTCATCTTTACTGTATTATGCCCTCTGCGATTTGTAGCTCGATTGTATAGTTTGGGATTTTTTCCGTTCAATTTTAAGGTAGGGTCGCGTTTTATACCTCGGTAAATGCTAAAATTCAAGTGAACTTTTCGTCTTTACTGTATTATGCCCTCTGCAATTTGTAGCTCAATTGGATATTTTGCGATTTTTTCCGTTCAATTTTACGGTGGGGGTGCATTTTACACCTCGGTAAATGCTAAAATTCAAGTGAACTTTTCGTCTTTACTGTATTATGCTCTCTGCGGTTTGAAGCTCGATTGGATAGTTCGGGATTTTTTTCATTCAATTTTACGAGATGATCTTTTCCAAGTGGATACTTACGTTTGGTGGGTGATAATAGCTTCAGCTAGTTATTTTATTTATTCGATTTTTGAATATAAAATCTGGTCATTGTTCATGGAGTTTGGGATTCCACTTGCTGGGATTATCTCATCAATTTCTGGTGATTTTACCGGCATTTGTTCCGTCATGCATCGAGCACATCATCACCCATTAAGCAACCACTGGATTTTATTTACTCTCTCGGGGTTTGTATCACGGCACTAGGGTGCAATTTCTTGCTCTAGTTGCATGCTTATCCTTTTCTTTTTTCTGTTCCTCACATTATATGGCTTTTGCCAGAGTACTGGGGGTGTACCACCAGCTTCGAACTCAAGGCTTTCGCCACTTCCCCCAGAACCTGCAGACTTTTATGATCGTGGTGCAACAATTGATATTCCTCTTGACACAGCAGGATCAGGTCATCAGGTTGGTCATAGAATTTAGATGTGCATTTTTATTTGGTCTTTCTTTATTTGGAAGTTATTGTCTGGTCATCTTATCGGTCATTAATCCTCAATATAGGACTTGAAAAGGAAGGAGAAGGAGCTCCAAGCTAAGGAGGCTGAACTGAAGAGAAGGGAAAAGGTTATTGCACTTCTTGTTATCAGCATGTACACGTCTTTCTTTGGATTGCCCTCTACGGAAGATATAGGAAATTCTTGGAAGATAAAACAATGAAAGACAAATGGGAGGATTCACTGCTAACTTGCGATAAAGCGGTGCCCGTCGGTTTTAGTGAAATTTATTTCATGAATTCTCTGCTATAACAATTATGGTGACTCGTTTTCTCTCTGGCAGAAGACACGTGATGATTCTAATTCTCTACTAGGTTTAACTTGACTTATGTAATGAGCATCCACAAGTGAGTGGTAATGGTGAATAGCATCATTACAAAATTACCCTAAAACAGAAGAATAGTATGTAACATGGGTTTGGAAATCTTAGACTCTTAGGTTATACATAACAGGCGCTGTACTCATTGGTGTAGTGTCCCTGTTGATGTGGTGTTTCTTCTGCTTCTGGTGCTTGCAGGAAGTTCGACGGAGAGAAGAAGCTGCAGCTCGAGGTAATTGAGTTATGGAACACTGGTCCTATATTGTCGGGGAATTTATATATTTAGTTCTCCCTGTAACTTCAGACGTGTGTTACTATTTCCTTCGGAAAATTGTTAGTTGATTCTCCATCTGATGGCCTGTGGGTTATCAAGGGATATCTTATCACGTTCAGATCAATACATTGGCATATTCTGTACGATATTCAAGATGTTGCTCACTTCATTTGCTCTAAGCAATGAGTAATGTCATTTGGGCTATTTTCTTCGTCTGACATGGTTATGTGAATTGCAATCTTTTTGCAGCTGGTATTGTTCTTGAGGAGAAAAATTGGCCCCCATTTCTCCCCATTATCCACCACGACATTGCAAATGAAATTCCAATTCATCTTCAGAGGCTACAATATGTTGCATTCACAACATATCTAGGTATGTAAAAGTTGATTGATTCTCCTCTTGAGGTGACAAGATATTTCCCATGGCATTTGACTGCTAGTAGGCTTGTGCTGCACTTTTGGACTCTGAAATACTAAGTTTTTGAAAGATTATTCTGGGGTGAACTTGCCCAAAATCATATATAAGATATTGTGTCCTTTTGGTTTGCTGAGTATTATAATTGGATCTTGTATATCATCTGTTCGATTGCCAGCCGGAGTCAACGGAAGTTTGTTTTTCGCTGTAGTGTGTCAATTTTCCTGCCATCTTGTGGTGCATGATTAGGATTGGGAAGAGTGTGGATGAAGTATTGCCAAAGCTAGGGTAACCAAAAAGTTGAACAACTTTTTTGTGGGCTCAGTGGATCTGAAAGAGGAGGGGGGCGGGCGGGAGGGGAGGGGGTTTTTGTGTGTGCACTGTACACACTAGTTTTTTCTCAGCAAGTCTGACATAAGAAGAGGTTAACAGTGAATACAGTATCCTTGTGGATGTGGGATGTCATTGTCAAAACCTAAATTAATTAAGTTTTGCATGTTGTGTTATGAGCTGCCATCTGTACCATTTTAACTGGCTGTGAGGCGTAGCTGAGGCTTTTCATTATGGTTGAAATTTTTGGCTTTAGTTGCTTTTGGCGATTTGACTTTTGTTTCGTAATTCACAAGGAGTTGTCAATGATAATATTAACAGTAAATATCTCCAAGCCGAAGGCTTTACATTTTACATTTTACTTGGTTCTTTTTCTAGGGTTTGAAATTTGACTTCTAGGTAAATCTCAAGCTTGTGAAATATCCAATTAATCATATGGATCAATATGGTAGTTTTTGCACTTGATGGCATGGGAATCATACTTGTTCGATTTTATGATCCACGCTCAGATGTCTGTTCCTTAACCGCTAACCCAAACTTATAGGGTTAACGAGACCATTTCTGCATTGCCTGATTGTCTCTTGCTTATTTAAGATATTAAGTTGTTGCGTATGCTTGAAAACAGCTCGAGTGATTCTTTTGGTTATCTTTACTGATAGTTTAATTAAACACAATAAGTATGCTCCAGTACATGCTCCAAAATAATTCAAATTTATACTATGCAGGATTGGTGCTATGTCTGTTTTGGAACATAATAGCCGTGACCACAGCATGGATTAAGGGGGAAGGTTAGTGTGCAGTGAAGATTAGTTTACTTCATGCACATGCTGGGGCAATCAATTTGTGAGATTTCCCCTTATCCGAGTTCTTGGCTCTTTTCTTAGGTGTTAAAATCTGGTTCCTTGCAATCATCTACTTCATCTCGGGAGTTCCAGGTGGTTACTTTCTGTGGTATCGCCCACTTTACCGTGCATTTAGGTATGTCGTTCTGCTGCTCCTAGATGGGTTTTTTTTATGCCTCGCTTTCGTCCAAATCTACTAAGTTACGTTATGTCTCCCTTGCTTTGCAATGATCTCAGAGGATAGTATGCCAGCTTTGACTATTTTTTGCTGATAGTCAATCCCGTGTCTATTGGTCTTACATTGTTAAAAAGTCAGTTGGCCAATTGCTGATCATCGAACCAGTTGGTTCCGTCATTGTGTTAGGAACACTAATATGAAGTTCGTTTGACTTTTCATGTTCTTTTATGTGACATGTTATTTGCATAATTCTTTGCAGGACTGATAGTGCTATAAGGTTTGGCTGGTTCTTCCTGTTCTACTTGGTAAGTTAGCCAGACTTGCAACATAGTTTGTCATTTCAACAATTTTCTCTTGCTCTGATCAATTTTTTGTCCTTGTACCTGCAGCTCCATATAGGCTTTTGCATTGTTGCTGCAGTTGCTCCCCCAATAATATTCAAAGGAAAATCTCTCGCGTAAGCCAGCCACTATGATCTATGATTCATGTTCCAACTTCATTGTGACGATTTTAGTTTTCACTTGGTAAATTGCGGACGCTATTAAGGTCTTGGGTCACAGGAAAATATGGCACCTCGTAGCTTTCCATTCCTTTTGCATTTTTAGATATCTTCCCTAAATCTGAACATTCTTTCAAGTGTTGGTCGGTCTGGGAATAGAGTCCCCTCGCTTTTATAACCTGTTTATTAGCTTATTTCCCTCCTTTATGCAAGATTTTCTGCTAAATTACTAATTTGCTTATGCTTTAATAAGCATTCATCATAATTAGTTTATGGGGTACAACTAGTAAGTGCACAATAATATCCTTTCCGGCGAATTTCTGACCTTCTTGCATTTTCTAAACAGGGGCATATTGGCAGCAATTGATCTTACAAACAAAGCTGCCATAGTTGCGGTAAAATCTCCCATTTATTTCGTCTACGCATTTGTCTCGGGGCACAGTGAATGTTTGTCTACCTTTTTGCCAAGATTAATGATAATTAAGCTACCAACGAAGTCATTCCGGACTAATGCACTTTCATCCTTTTGCAGATCTTCTATTTCATTGGCTTCGGGCTATTCTGTTTGGAGACTGTGCTTAGCATCTGGGTTATTCAGGTCCTTTCTTTCTCCTTTCTTTGTGCCAGAAAACCTATCAAATGCATCTGTTGCCTTCATTTAAAGCTTTCATCAAAGTTACTCAAATTTTTTGTTGACACCTTCGGTTGCAGCAAGTGTACATGTACTTCCGGGGAAGCGGTAAAGCCAATGAGATGAAGCGCGATGCTGCGAGAGGCGCTATGAGAGCGGCATTGTAAGGCAGAATCCGAAAGCACGATGAGTCGGTTGGTTTCACTCGTGTTCATACTCGTTTGTGTGGTTACCCTTTGTGGTTAGTGATGTTTTGTTGAAAGCAAGATTACGCATTTTCGCTCAACTCGAGAGATCATTACTGAAATTCCATTGTTGTAATCAGTGTAATGTAGAGCTTTGTTGTTTTTACTAGTCTCATAGTGTTGAACCATACATTGAGTCTGAAGTTGTTATTAAAAGTGCGAGAATTGTTCCCCCAAGCAGGCTTTACTGGTGTAAAACTGGCGTAAACCGGCACGGCACAAAACCAAGGATTCGAAATTGCTGACTTACAAACCACTTACATGTGTGTTTCTTTCGGTGTAAAAGATTTTCAGGAGATGGTTTTTCGACTTTCATGTTTTTGGTTCACAGGAAATATATGGTCGATGGAAAAGACAATTTACGGTCAAAGAAATATCTACACTTGAAATAAGGAAAATGTGTGCATCAATTTTCACTTCTTACTTAATGCAGCGACGAGCGGATTTTGACATTTTCTTGGTCTACAATATGAAATTTCCACAATGTTTTTAATATACTCTTTAGATTTGAATACTATACTTTCAAGGCAAATCTGAATGAGGTTGGGAAATCATTAGATGCTTTCGGAATAAACCGTCGGGAGCATTTCGAGAGATTGCTAAGATGGAGCCAGTGCCGATGACTTGTGAGCAAATTAAGACATATCATTTGTTCTGCGTTAGATCACGTCCTCAATGCCAGATTTCTTTCGCCAAACACTCTCGACGCGCGCAACCTTAGCGCGAACTTTCTCAATGTTCACGAATCGAAGCAAGGTGCACATGAATGTACAACCCAAGATGAGACGACATGACTGTACTTCCGTTCGAAGCACTTTATGATTTGTCCAAATTGTCATATGCTCTAACAAAAGGGGAAAACCTTAAATGCACGACCGTAACTTCTTGATGATAAGCACTTGCCGGGTGATGGAAACATGTAAAAAAAATTAATTTGATGCAACTATTGTTTCAGACAAATGTGGCATAGGGCCTTCATTAATCGTCCGGGCCGTCCAACCCCACCTCTCAACTACCATCTCTAAAGTCAAATTAAAGCCTTTAATGCCCCCAAAATGTCAAATTGAAGAGACCCACTTCGCTTTCCCCACGAAGACTATTGATCCCTGACGGTGCTGTTTCACGAAAAATAAATAATTTAGAAAATATTTTGGATAAAAGTTACCAAAAATTTCAAATATGCCCACTGCAATACATTTGCCATAAACTTTTTTCTATGATACTAAACTATCAAAATTATATATGTGTGACACATTTATCCTTTATCAAAGTTCAGTTAAAAAATCTGCCTATATTGACGCTGAAAAGCAAATGATGTCAAGTGAAATAAAAAAAACATTATTTTGACTGAAAAATCATTTAACAAAATCTTGATGGAAGGTAAATGTGTCACATAGGTACAAGTTTGGGGTTTTTTATGTCACAAGAAAAAGTTTAGGGTAGTTGTGTCACAGTGAGCATATAGAAAAAAAATTAGGGTAATTGTGTTACTGCGAACATAGTCTGGGGCTATTTGTGGCATTTTCCAAAAAATGATCGTTTGTATTACTAACAAAAATGAATGGACGGAAAATATTTTCATCGTTTGTGAAAAATGTTTAGACATATAAATTATTGTCGATAATAGAAACATCTTTCATTGGCTAATTTATTTTAAGCAATATAAGTGGATACTTTTAGAAAAATGCTTTTCAAATCATTTATTTTCCGTGAAACAAGCGCATCCTAATACAATAATCGAAGTCATAATAATTTATATGAACATCTATGTATTTTTCTTGTCTAAGCTGTAGGGTATGGGCTCATAAGCCATGATTAACTTAAAGTTAACCACACCTTTAGATATCGATAATGATTTTTCACTGTACAATATATAACTGCTAAGGAGTACCCTCCTATGCCCTTATTATCAACATCGTTACAATGTGACAATCCTTACAAATTCAAGAATTGGTAATAAACTTACGAGGATTTGAAAATTGTTCTCTTCCTGTTCATATCCTTTCATGCACTTTCCAACATTATGATGAGGAAACATGTCTTGAACGGAGAAAAATTACTAAGGATTACTTTGCTTCCGGAAAAATCGAAATCGAAAAAAGAAAGTAGGGGCAGCAAATGTGTGTAATTCAACTATTGAGCTATGCCTAATCGAGATATTTTTAGTCAAATTGTTAGATGCGTATGTACGAGATTATGTCTCAACATGTTAAACGTATTGTGTCATGTAATCCATTTAATATACTGTGTTGTGTTAGGGTTTCGAGAGTACGCCACGAATAAATGTGTCGTGTTTACAGTAGGCCAAAATTTGACATGACGCGACTATGACATGTACATATACGGATTTGTTTGTTGGTCAGACACGTACATGTACGAGTTGATCCATCAGAAAGGGGATTTTTCTATCTTTAGTAAAGAGCACATATCTCTTTTTTTTTTCCCTTTCATTCCTCCTTTCTGGTGAAGAGTCATAAGTGAAACAAAAAAGGAAAGTTGCACCAAAAGGCCTAATTTTGTACGAGGGATGCGATCTAGTCTTGTCCGGTTGGTGCATTCAAATCTCAAAACCTTTTTTTTCAAAAAAAATAAAATGGAAGCATATGAGTCCTTTCAATTCGCATTAGGTCTACAATGAAGATTATTTCTTACCATTAGGTAAATAATTTTTCGTGAGATGACTTGATTGCACTCTTTCGAAAAAGGATTTAAGACTTTATTACTATAAATGAAAGGTTTATGATCGCTTGCTTCCTATACACAAGGTGTACGATTTTAATAACTTTTCTTTAAAAAAAAACGTGTAAATAGGACTTATTTCATTATCATAATCTGCTATAATTTTCATTGTATTACTATGTTCTAGGAGTGAGAAATGTACTTGCATACTTCCTACTAATACATATATTTATGGGATAAGTATATTGAAAGTCCTAAATTTGTTACAAAAGTACAATCAAGTCCTAAAGTTTGTTACGAAAGTGCAATTGAGTCCTAAAACTTTCAAAAAGTGCAATCAATGGAAGGACTTGATTCGACCAATTTGACAAGTTTTAGGATTTGATTGTACTTTTTGAAAGTTTTAGGACTGAATTGCACTTTTTAAAAGTTTTAGGACTCGATTGCACTTTCACGACAAGTTTTAAGATTTGATTGCACTTTTTGATAGATTTATGACTCAATAGCACTTTCGTGATAAGTTTTAAGACTTCCAGTGCACTTATTCATATATTTATACATTTTAACAAGGATCTTACACATACAAATGATCACGAGCTCTATCTAATCACATCGCGAATCGCATCTTTTCACAACTTTAGTCGTAAACCAAAACCCTAAGTTCATAAAATACTTTTCCCCTATAAAGCAACTCACCGGATAAGAACATTAAGTACGACAAATATCTACATTTCATTAACTGTATAATTAATTGCACGGTGCACAAGGCTTGTGCATGTACTAATGTAAGTAAATGAACTTAGTACGTGTGCTCGGCCTACCCCTTTGTCAATACCTCAACTGTCCCCAGCCACCATTAATGGCTCTTTACCCTTTTCTTCCTCCACTTCCACCGTTTGCCCCCCACTTAAATATTCCCCCAATGCAATCACAGCTTCCATCTCGTCAAATTCCACCACCACCATCACCACGATGAAGAACAAAGCCACCACCACCATCACCACCACCACCACCACCGCCCTCTCCCTCCTGGCCATCCTCTTGCTGCTCATCTCGACCGCCTCCCTCGCCTCGGGCCGGCCCGGCTCGTCCGGATCCGACCGCAAGTCAGCCAAGGGGAAGGGGCACGCGGACGATGACGGGCCCGGCGGGTTCTTTGGCCCGGGGGGCGGCAGCGGCGGGTTCGGGGACATACCCGGGCTCGGGAACGGGTGGGGCAGCGGGATCGGCGGCGGGTACGGGGCTGGGTACGGGGGTCCCGGCGGGGGTTACTCCAAGGGAGGCGTGATTAGGCCCACCGTGGTGTGCAAGGACAAGGGCCCGTGCTACCAGAAGAAGCTGACGTGCCCGGCCAAGTGCTTCACCTCCTACAGCCGCTCCGGGAAGGGTTATGGCGCCGGGGGCGGCGGCGGCGGCTGCACGATGGATTGCAAGAAGAAGTGTATCGCTTATTGCTGAAAATGAGTGAGGTAAGGCATGTGTAAGAGAGGGGTTTCCTAGGACTACTCTCAGAATGCTACAATATGTATTGTGTAAGCGATCGTTTTGATGCTGTTTCATTATGTAAGCTGCTTTTGGCCGAGATCAGTTTACTCTATAGTTCTACTACTCTGGTCTTTGAAGGTTTAGCAAAATATGGCCATTATCAAATAAATGGTGTGCTAGCATATTAACATATGGGTTTTCTTCATTATATTTATTGATTTATTTTTTAAAAAAAATTCGTGAGGAGACTTTGGTTCTTGATGCACTATGTATACTATTGAAGAAAATTTAGGCAATTTTTTTTCCTTTTTTTGTGGTTGAAAATCAAGGAAAAAGATATGTAGTGGAGCAAAAAGTAGGATAGCCAGGGGTGGCGGGGGTGGGACTTTGGGGTTCTGATGGGAGCTTTGATGGATATCTTTCTTGAGTGGATTTAACGGGACCCATCAAAATGCATGACTAGATTACTTCTTCTTTTTTTTTTTTCAAAATAACATTTCATTCATTTTTACAAGAGAAAAATCATGCCATTCAACTACAAACAAGACAAATTCTAGACAACTTCAAAACAAAATAAACTCTATATAAACAAGATAAATCGCCAGAATATGGATAAGAGTTACCTGTTCAAAAAGTAAATTTATGACTTCTTCAAACTAAAATCGGTGGCCGTTAGTACACACCGAGATCTCCATATATTATTACGGCTTTGCTTTTCGGTTGTGCGCTCCTGGACGGTAAATGGTGAAAAAAGGGCATAATATTGGGTGGATAATGGGGTAACTTTGTCCATAAATTGTGAATCATCGTACGAAAAAAGTAACATGTGTATGATAATGATTCAAGACGTTCAAAGTGCCTTTTGCGTTGTCTACGGCGTTTTCGATGTACGTGTGGTCAAAAAGTTTTAGACCCTTTTTCACGGGGTGGCATGCTTCTTTCTTCCTTTATTATTATTGTTGTTGTTGTTATTATTTTTCAGTTTTGGTGGAACTTTTTCAGAATTTGCAGTTACATAACCATCACGATAACTTTGCACGATCAAACCCATCACGATTAGTATTGTTATTAATATTAATATTAATATTATTATTATTATTATAACATGGAGTGGTTGAACCTTTGTGGTTCGGCTATCATTCGTTGAACTACACAAATTATGCGATCCACATGCATTGATTTATATATAGAATCTACCGGATCCGACCAAAATACTTTACCAGTCAACCTGTCTCCTCCGGAATTTAGCCGATGATAAGGCATCGACCGTCTTTAAACCGAACTAGAAGAGTCCTCTCCCCGCTGAATAATTTGCTCGATCTTCACTTGATTGAAGGAATGATACTATTGATGGTCGCAGTATTCTTGTTCGAAATTCAAGAGTACCCCCGTATTATTCTTTTCAAAATGGCCCCTTTATACTTTTAGAGAGAGTCAGAGAGAGAGAGAGAGCGCGCGAGTGAGCGAGCGACTTGCCTCGGGGCTGCAACCTCCGCCTAGGCTCATGACCACCTCATGGTGGCGGCACGCTATAAAATCTGAAACCCGTGTGGAGAGAGAGAGAGAGAGGATGGCTGCTGTCACTTGAGACCGCAAGGGTCATGACCACCCACGGGGTGGTAGCGAGCCGTGTCATGCAGGGTGATTGAGACATTAATTTTAGGTCCTACACCCCAAAATAGAAAATCCCGGGTAGATTTGGCCCGGAAAAGATCCAGGTCGACGTCTTTTTAAGGCATTCGGCTCACATCAGCAAAATCCATTACCAATACGTTTCGAGACGAATATCCCACTTCAAAAGGCACAAGAACTCTTCTGAACAAAAAAAAGTAAAAAGAGTAGGAGACCGATTTTTGAAGGGGACAGCGATTCGAGCCCCACGTCCGGAAACCGAACTCCGAGTCGGCTCATGCCGAGAGGGGGCACGCCCCGTGCCGGCCACTCCGGCGGAGCCGTGGTGACGGGCCGATCCATTTCGTGAAGATCTATATTCAAAGGGGTCAGTCTACGGCTGTGGTACCCAGCTGCAGATGATTATACAGACAAAGGACATATCTGCATGTCATTTACTACCTCCCAGGACGAAGGAGCGCAGCAGACGCGGTTCATTCATCTTGACGCAGAAACGCGTGGGGCCGAATTGAATCGATTTGCATTGATGGATATTTCGATAAGCCGGGGGAAGAAAAAAAAAGGGTAGATTCATAACTTTACTTACCCCAAAAAATAAAAATAATGTAAATCACAGGGAGCAATTCTTTTGTTTGTTTGGGGAGTTTATAAAAATCTTATTAAAAAAAGAGTTTTAATATTACGAAAAACCCTAAACTAGTACATTTGTAATAAATTTACCAAAAACTAATTTTTTGACAACCAAAAATCCCAAATTGGTACGCTTGAGATAAATTTACCATAAATTAATTTTTCGATCACAAAAAACCCCAAACTGGTACATTTGTAACAAATTTACCATCCGTTAAATTGGATTAATACAACGAAAAATCACAAACTGGTACACCTGCGATAAACAGAGGTAAAACCCCAAACTGCTATACCCTTCAACTGCCACGTGTTATCCAACTCATAAATTTGACGGTAAAATTTAACGGAAACTAACGGAGAGTAAAATTATCACCGGTGTAGGGGTAAATTTGTCGCAAGCATACTAGTTTAGGGTTTTTTTCGTAATATTAACCCTAAAAAAAGTTACAAATCGACACATTGGGTATCTAGTGACTCGGATTGGATGGGGCTATTTCCGCTCCCTATATGACTAAGCCCACTCGTTTTCTACTAGATAGACAAGATTGACCTTAATGGTTTTCATATTTGCACATTTTCCTTTCACTTAGTCATTTTCTTTCTATGGTTTTTCATGGAATTTAAACTTATTGATATCTAATAAATAAAAATTAGTCTTTTCTCCATCATTGCTATTATAACTCATTTATTCTTTGTCCGTCCTTTCTTTTTTTTTGTTTTTGTCTTGTCATACTCTAACTCTTGTCTTGTCATACTCTAACTCTTAACTCACTTTCAAACTTTTGTCCTGCCTCTTTAGAGAGCATGAGAGTTGAATCCCACATCTGAAACTAAACGTCCCCACCCCAACTCTCCGAGAAGATGGGGATTCAAACTCTCCACCTCCCCCTTCCCATGTGGGAAGGGTGACCACTGGGGTAACCCCCAGCGGTTTGTCCGTCCTATCTCAGAAGCTCATTTTTTAGTGAACTTTTTATTTTTCAATTTCATTAGTCTAAAAAAAATATAAATTCCGTTAATTTACTATGTCAAAGAATTTTTATTTTTTCCTTACTATTGATGGGACACTTTTACACGAGCATGTATGACGTTATAAGAGTATATAAAATACACTAAAGGCATTGACATGAAAAGGTTATTCACACAAGGCATCTTTGATATTTTTTCGTGAGTACTCCCTGAATGATATATATTTATGTCAAATCCCAAATGAATGAAATTTCATTGGCATCTAAAAAAAGTTCTTATTTTATGCAAAGTTTTTCTATCATTAAATTTGATTTTTAAAGCTTCACGTTCGGGAATGTAATTGTGATTTTGTTTTGTAAAATCTTCAGAGAGATTTTGTTTTGTTTTTTATTTTTTTGCACCCGATCATCCCGTTATATATATGTATATAAAAGACAATTGTAAGAAATAATTTGATGGTGATATACACAACAAAAATGAAAGTTTATAAACATGTGACCCTGTTAAAAGGGTTGTTTACATTAACATTTTTCTAGATTTTACTTGACAATTATTACGTAAATTTTCTCGACAACATATAAAAGAATTAGGTTTCTTGGAATTTCACTTCTTGAAAAATCTAATTTCTACAGAAGTAAAATCTAAAAAAAAATAGAAAACATAGTGCCTCTAAATATTTGGTTTTCAATTGGTTTTGTAAGATCGGTGTGAGAATTTAGGATTTAGGGATTGACTGTTTTGAAAGGAAAATGTCATTTCTTGTAAATAGGAACAAGAGGATAATTGATGAAAATATAAAACATGTTTATTGGTATTTCCGTGGGTTATTCATTTATGGATCTTCCAATAAAAGAAGGCAATCAAATACATGGGCCTTGATCCAAAATAGTTGGCTGGCCCGATGAAATTATATGTTGGCACTTATTGAGACTTGGAATCTTGTACAAAATAGCCCAATAGGAGTTCATTTTGTTTTTATATTTACCCACTATAGTACTTTTGAGCATAAGCATACAATGATGAACACCTATTACTATCCACAAACAGTTTTTTTTTAGCTAAAGGCAATACCACGTGACAATGACACGAGATTACTTAATATAGTCAAGAGTTGTACTAATGATAACTTAATAGAAAACAAACGCATCTATCCCAATGATGATAATATATGATTCGATTGACAATTCTGCGTTCGAGCAAGTCATGTCTTATAATTGTAACTTAATTTCTCGTTGTCAGTGGTGTTGTGGAAGTCATACCAACTTCACTAACAAGGGAAATCAACTTAGTTCTTGAAACGATAGAGTCCATGGAAAGTGCAATCAATCCTCCAGTTAATCCAAGCAGAAGTGCTTTTGATTCAAATGCACCCGCTAACCCATCACTTTGTGCACTGACTTGACCTCTTAGCTTTGGATGCAGATAAGCTGTCACCTATTATGTACCCATCTGCTGTCATCGTCATCGGAATGTGACACGTGTCTAAGTTACTTCAATTCTCTATTTGACTCAACCGCCGCCCTCCGCCCCTCCGCCGCCATGCCTCCTACCACCTCAGCGATGGCAACCACCGTGACCGCCATTTTCTGGACCGTCTTTGAGCTCGTTTCGTCCTTTGCAACTGCTCCCTCGTTTACCATCGTTGTTCGTCTACTGTCATTTTCGCCCGTCTAGTCCTAATATTAGGGATTTTGCTGAAGTGACAATCAAAAGTAAATTACACAGTAAAGCTCGCAAGCGAGCACGTCACATGGCTCAATCTCGCAAAACTCTATATTTACACCATGCCCAAGAGTTACTAACCAATTTTCAACTTTTCTTTAAAATAGACTTCTGACCTTAAAAAATTACACTCTGGATGATGAAATTACTAATGAATAGTACCGGAAAAA